CAGACTTTGACTCGGAACCATTCACTCCGATGAAAAGTGAACGACGAATTGGCAAGCTCCAATGTTGAAGTAGGATTTAGGTCGTCACTTATATGTCATTCAATCATATAAACAACTTTCCTGTTTAAAGGTAAGAAAAAGATGTTAGGTTGTTTTGCAAACCGATCAGATTAAACAACAATTTTGTTAATATTGGTTTGCTAATCTTAATTTGTAAAAGTGGCATTAGCCGGATTTAAGTCTTCGAATAAATTCTACCCATAATACCGAGCACAGATTGTGACTAAGGTCCATATACACTTCCCCTTTTTGAGAATCACTAACCTTTGCTTCGATAGCCCGCATTACTCACATATCACGTCGTCATTTCGATGCTTCTCGATTGCTGTGTATTGACTGTAAGCCTATGTTGCGTTCTTCGTCAGTAGGAAGTGCTTAGGTATCTGAGGCGAACTTAACTACCCACCTCCCCATCTCATGCCATCGCCTTCACAGAGAAATAACTAACTTCATTAACGCCGGGATATTGTCTGCAGCAGTCTCCTATTTGCCTTTTATCGCTTTTCCTTTTATCATCTTCCAGTCGAATGTGTCTTATGGTTTTTGTGAGATTTTGAATTAATGCACAGCTACGTGTCCCCAATTTGGCCAAAGGACAATTATGTCTTTTCGTTTCCTTTGGGTGGACTTGTAAATCACCCAATCGCTAATATGCGAAACCACTTCTCCGGGAGAATTTACATCAAACCATGTGTATTTGTGGAGGGATTACAAGACTTGTGCAACAGCATCATCTGCTGTTGTAACACATGCAGGTTAAATGCTAAACAATGCTAGGGGTGACAACTGGCCGGGTGGGCATGGTGTTTGAAGGTGCCTACACTCAAGAAATCCATTTAGGTAGTACCAAGGAAAACGTGGACTAATGTAGACGCGTGGACGCACACACGTTTGACATTCTTTATCTGCCACAAGCATAAAGATATCAATTTCCACATTGCTTAGTGTTACACAATATAGCATGCTATCACAATGCTGAAAACAGAGGTTAACTGCCGTGAAGAGGAGGGAGGAAGACTCGACACTCACTTTGTTAACTGCACCGGCGCAATGCAGAACACAGTGGTGAGCAGTTGACCTCCAATGTGCGTTATTAGGGTAATACTTTTACAGCAGCTGGGCAAAGTTACTTGCGATCGGTCGAATTTCAGGCGAGCTGTGGTTATGCACTTGATACAATATTGTGCAGAAATGAGAATGCTGCAGAATCATGTTTACATGACACCAACTTGACGCGTCTTTGGCATACTCTGACTAAGCTGTTCTGTGCCATGGGATGTTCCCGGCAATTACGATGTTGTACACAAGGCACTGTTTGCCTACGTGTGTCGGTCACAGGCATTTCATATCGCTTACGGAATGAAACAGTTACACCTACTCCTGAGGTAACACCCTCTGACGCCTGCGCAAGCTCCTGACTAGCCCCCATCAACACCGACAACATACAGAACTGCACGTGGGGTAGTGATCTGTTGGAGCAGCAACATGGGATCAGTACCAGCTTCAGAAGGAGATTTTGTGATAACTGGCAGTCATAGCTGCTTTTGGTGAGTTTGCATCAGAGAACTGGTTATTTGGAGGAAGAAGGATGCCACATGTACACACGCACACATGTAGTCATTGCATTGAGGTAAGTCGAGCACACAGTGAGTGGATTTGTGGGTGAGGCGTCATCTCAAACACGCTTACAACTTGTTCCCTTTAGAGCGTAAAAGTCCATGATGCTCATCTTGACAAGCAGGTCTTCAAACAACTCGTCAAAAACGTGCAATCAAGCGAACGTGTGTTGGAATGGTCAAATGTTCACTGCAAATCAGACGGCAGAGTTGTTCGTTTCCGCTCCCTACCTCCCTCCCTACCGTTTAATTATTTGACATTATTCCTATTAGCACCATTCATTTATTTTAGTGGGTTAGACCACATTCTCCAGGTGGAGATAAACTGCACACAAACAATAATCAAACCATCACATCCAAAGCCATTTTTCCTCCTTGCGATGCAATGAGCAGAGAGGAAGGAAGGAGGAGTGATATCAAAAATAAAAAAGGGAAAAGGAGAGACGCCTTTTGTAGAATTGATTTTAGGTACGTTTTAGGTGTCAAATGCCGGCATCCATCTACTCTCGAATCCGTGCTGCAATAAATGCCCCTGCAGTACATCGATGCAGTGCTGACATGTGACTTGACCATTTTTTGCCAAACACGAGACTTGTTTACATAAATCTACGGATGGCGAATGTTTGGACATGATCACTATATTGACAGATGCAATAACGGGAGGGAGAAGTGGATAGAGGATGTGTGCGTGTGTCAACATGCCGTTTCGGTGGCTGTATTTCAGTGTCGAAGCGAACCGGAGAAAATCTTGTGGAAGGACTGCCCGTAGGCGCGTCATTGGACTGAAGTGGAGGGAGAGGGAGAGGGGATGAATTGGGTGAGGTAACAGAAGTTGGCGAATCTACTATACAGCAAAAAAGGAAGAGATTTATTAATTCCTGCAGGGTAGTTGGTGACCTCCAACCTCGGATGTGAATAAAGGTCGTGTTTTGGCACTACCGATATAACTAGCACAACACGAATTCAAAGGATTGCATTTAGTCCCATAATCGCCAAAATTACGCCTTTAGGGAAGGAAAACAACTCAAA